GTCTCCACAGCCTGAGATGATCGGCCACTACCTGGGCGAGTTCTCCATCACCTACAAACCCGTGAAGCATGGCCGGCCTGGCATCGGGGCCACCCACTCTTCGCGGTTCATCCCCCTCAAGTAGCCACCTGGCCAATAAAGGCGCTACTGTACCCAGTCTCGTGTGCCACTGTCCTTCTGGGTGTCAGCTCCAGGAGGGACCTGGGTTGAGGTCCTAGTATGGGACTCAGGTTGGACATCCACGGTGGTGACTGTGGGCTGTCTACAACCTGTGGTGTTCAGAGTTCACCCCTGACAGCCGTGCTCACTGTGGCTGGCCTTGGCCACCTCTCAGGACCCCCAGGAGAGAGCAGAGGGCCAGTTTGGTGGGGTGTGGGAGGTCTCCTCATAGACAGCCCTGCTCTAGGGCCTGCACTCTGTCCTCTGGATGGGGTTGTGCAGGTAGGGTGAGCAGCAATGACCCATCTGCTAGCTCCAAGAAACCCCCGACCTAGTTGTGTGCCTGCCTGGGGCCTCAGGACAGTCCATAGAGTCCCCTGTGCCCCTAGCAGCTGTGGTGCAATCGGCCACACCAAGGCCCCAGAATGGGGCCTTCCCTGGACCTTCAGTTGCCCTGGTCAGAGAGGCCTCCAGGGGGCAGGGTCACAGCAAACTCCCCAACATTTGGGACAGAATTGCCTTTTCTGTAAGTTTGAGAACATGGTGGATCTCAACTTGAGCAGAGCTGCCAGAGCAGCAGCAGGCTCCCTGATGGGCAGCGGAGAAACTGAGGGTGCCCAGGCTGTGGCCTAGGAGAGTGGAAGAGGAGATATGCTGCCCTTAGTGCCCCTCTAAATGTTCAGTGGGGCACCCCGGGTGGGCAAAGTTCCTGTACACAGCCCCCCCCCCCCGGCTCTAGTGTTGTCAGCCACATTTGCTTGTGATGTTCGCTCAATTTGGAATCAAGAATTAAAGGAGAGAAAGGGACTGTGGGTTTTTTCCAATCTTTCTGGAAGGAGTTGCAGCAGAGGAAAGATTGCCTGAGGCCAAGACTTGGGGCCCCAGCAGCTCAGGAGGCTGAGGAAGGAGGATTGTGAGTGAGTTCTGCCTGGGTAGCTTAGCAAGACCAAATAAAAAGGACTGGGGATACAGAGGCCCTGGGTTCAATCCTCTGTGCTACTCTCCGGCCAAAAGTTTGGTGAAAGGCTGGTGATATGGGAGCTAGGCTTAGCTGGGAACAGCTGGGTTGATGCCCATTGTTATGAGGGTTCAAACAAGGGTGGCTGCTCTGGTGTGGTATGAGGTTAGGTGGTTATCAGTGTGGCCAGGTTGGGCAGTCTGGACTTGGGCTCAGTGTAAATCCCTTGTGAGTCACAGCTGAAGTGTGTGGCTGCACTGGTCAGGGTCATTCCCCTGGGGCAGCAGAACCTTTGTGACCCAGCTTTGCATACTTGGCTGTGTCCAGCCCAAAAAAAAAAAAATGTGGAGGGTTGAGGATTTGTTTTGTTTTGTTTTTGGTACCAGGGATCGAGCTTGGGTCCTTGAGCTTGTGAGGCAGGCAATGGAACCACTGAGCTAAATCCTTGGCCCAGTTGAGTCTTAATTTTGTCTTCAGGAGTTGTTTTGTTTTTTTTAATGAAATGACTCAAATGTTAGAATTGACTTTTTCATGCCAGACTGGCGGAGTTGGGAAGTAGATACCCAACTCTGTATGCCTTTTTCTGTTTGTTTTTCACAGCAGTGGAGAGGAAGCACAAGTCCTCACACATGCTAGGCAAGACAAGCTCCATCACTGAGCTGCACCCCAACCCTGGAAGCTGGTGTTTACTGCTGAGTATTAAGTGACAAATGTGGCCAGAGCCACTTTGAGCCCCAGGTCCTTGTAAGGAAGTGAAAGATATCTGGGGGTAGACAGAGGACCCCATATCGCCTGCCTGGGCAGGTAGTCTTGCCAGCACTTAGGCCGCACTGGGCACACACTGTCTTGCCTGTGCCACTGAAAATACCCAAGGGATTTCCCTGTCCTAGGCTGCTCCCAGGGTACAAGCGGCCTTTCAGACCTTCACTGCTTGTTCCTTTGTGGTGCTTGATGACAACGGAGTCATTCAAGACCAGGGGAAAGAATCCACACTCTTAAGTACAGAACATTGTATTGGGAATGGTTTGTCCTGGGCCCAGCTTGTGCTAGGCTCCCTGGCACCCTCATTCCAGGACCACTTTGGGGTGTCAGGAAAGGACTGGGCCTCTACTAATTACCCAGGTTCACTGTGCTGCCTCTTCTCTCAGCTGCAGGCCCAGGCCTCTGGTCACATCCACACCTTTGGGCTTCCTGAGGCTGCCCCTCTGATGGCCCCCTGGACACACCCAGAACCTGAGTGGGTGTCCCCTCAAGTCTAGGCCCTGTTCCCAGCATCTTCGCAGACCTCATTCGAGCTGAGGCCCTGACTCCTACTATCTGTCAGCTCCTCTAGATCCATCCCTGGGTCCCACCATATGGAGTAAAAGACAATTCGCAGGATAGAAATTCTGTGCTACTCAGATTCTCCATACTAATAACTTCATACCTGGCAGGGAAACTTGGCAAACATAAAATGGGCCATAAAAAGATTTCCACCCTCACCCCTCCCACCTGGTACAGCATTCACATCACAACCTGGATAAATTCTCCCTTTTTTTTGGTTTTTTGAGACAGGGTCTCACTATATAGTTTAGACTGCCCTGGAATTCACTTTGTTAGCCCAGCCTGGTCTCCAACTCACAGTTTCCTCCTGCTTCAGCCTCCCAAGTGCTAGGATTACAGGGATTTTTTTTTTTTTAAGACAGAATCATTTATTGTGACATGTTCACGATATATAATTAGTGGAGGGACAAGTTACAAATAATATTTATAGTACCATCTTGTTTTGATTTCTTAAATCAAAATATCAAAAGCATACACTCGATGGTTTTATACATGAAGACTTTTTCCACAGCTCTGACCAGGGGTTGTAATTCCTTCTAAATCTCAACCTCAACCAAATTCCTGAAATGTTTTCTGGGCAATAGAGACTTCCAGGAATCATTATCTTGTAGTTTGAGACAGTAGCTTCTCCCCTTGATTTTCTGTTCTATATTGATGGAACTTCAGTTATGGGTTCAAATTTCTCTAATTGAGTTTATTCTGTTTTAGCTGGTACAAATGCAAATTGGGCTTGCCTGCTAGTAAAAGGTGTCGTTCTTTGGACTTTCATTTATGTGACACAGAATAAGTCATAAAAAGTAAAGTATGATTTTTCAAGAGAAAGAAAGCTGTTACCTTTTAAATGCAAGTTACGAAACAATGTTTAAAACAATGCCAGCTCTTTAAAATAAAAAGAACAGATGGGTAGAAAAAGGTAGGGCATACAATATTTTATTTCCTTATGTGATCCACGTCCAAATCTTACTTGTTCGACAAAGTTTTGAATACCTAGCATTTCCAGATACTGCCAGGCAAAATCCATCCATCCATCTCAGAGTGTGCCACCATGCCTGGCATCCTGGGTAAATTCTCAACCCCAGACTTTCCCACTGCCCACCACACCTCAGGGTCCTGGAATGCCCTCACTTGGTCCCTGGCTCTCACTTCCCTTTCAGCCCCTGTCCTCACCTTCTCTGCTAAGGCAGCACCTCTGTGTTCATGGCTTTCCTGACATAGTACGGTTCAGGGTGACACATTCCCGTGGTCCACTCCTTGCCTGGCATCTAACCAGGCAACCTTCCCAGCCCCTCCCCAGCATACTTCTCTGGCCTCTGCCCTCGGACCTGCGCCATCACCCTGATCTCAGGCTTCCCACAGTCTGTTCTCCCCATTTCCGATAGAGGGCACCGCTCTGCTCTGCCCATAGGTCTCCATAGCTCCTACAAAGCTGAGTCCTGAGCTGCGACACAGCTCACTGGTAGAGCGTTATGAAACAATGCTGGGTGTATTAGCACGCTCCTATAATCTTAGCACTCTAGGAGGCTGAGGCAGGAGAATCACAAGTTCTAGCTGGGCCTAGGCAATTTAGGAATATTCTCAAAAAACACTGGGCAAAAAAACACTTGGCATGTATCTCACAGTAGGAAAGTCCTGGGTTCAATCTCCAGTATTGCTCCCCACCCCACCCATAAAAAGCCCAAACCCCGCGGCCCCAAGACCCTATGTGACCTGCCCAGTGCCTTCCCACATGGTTCTGCCACCTGCCTCGCAAGCACAAGGTCCTGAGTTCAATCCCCGATACCAAAAAAAGAAAAAAAAAAGTCATCAGTGCCTTCTCACAACTTTGCAACCCCGTTCCTGGTCGCTCAGCCCCAGACACCACCAGGTCCATTCAAGTGCCCTTCTCGGAGCCTCCAGGCCACCTGCCCAGACTTGGCTTTTCCTGCTTGGCTTCCCAGTGGCCCACCATGCTGTCTACCACATTTACCAAGGGCCCAAGTCTTCCCCGGATTGTTCATTGTATCAGTCTTTTTTTTTTTTTTTTGACAGGGTCACTCTGTTCAGACTGTCCTGGAACTCACTGTGTACTCGAGACCAGGCAGGCTGGTCTTTAATTCGCAGCAATCCTTCTGCCTCAGCCTCCCGAATGCCAGGATTACAGGCGTGCGCCACCACGCTCGGCCAGTTTGTTTATTGTACAGGGATCGGCACACAGTAGGTGCGTAGTACAAGTTTAAAAGACTACCAGCGGTGTCATTGCCAATAGAGCGAGGCAAATTAGGCGCTCAGCAAATGTTCGCTGAATGACTAATGAATTTGCGCACCTGGGTGGATTCCAGAGGCACCCAAGCTTCTGCCCGGGAAGTGACTGTGCAGGGTGGCGCCTTTGTTCCTCCAAGGCCGTGCCGCCAGGCCCCTTTTCCTCCCGCTCCCTACCCCTTGCCAACTCTGAAGTGTCCCCCATTCCCACTGGAACAGTGCCCCTCTCTCCCTCTCTCCTGTCTGCACACATGGCCCTCGACCGCTCTTGCACTCTCAGGACCTCAGGCCATCCTGCCTGAGCAAAGCATCCTGCGCGGGGCGCACGCTGTCCGAGGCAGCCGCGGCTCGATGGGGCTCCTGGGGCTCCTGAGCCTGCTGCACTCGGCCTTCTTCGGGGACCAGGTAGGGAGCGGGGATCCTAGTGGGGGTCGAGGGTCCGGCCCCAGGAACATCAGACAGGGTGGGGTCCGGGCTGTGGGAATGGCGGCCCCAGCGGCGGAGGGTGCACAGACCAGCGTGCTGAGACTTAAAGAGGCAGCCGCGGCTCGATGGGGCTCCTGGGGCTCCTGAGCCTGCTGCACTCGGCCTTCTTCGGGGACCAGGTAGGGAGCGGGGATCCTAGTGGGGGTCGAGGGTCCGGCCCCAGGAACATCAGACAGGGTGGGGTCCGGGCTGTGGGAATGGCGGCCCCAGCGGCGGAGGGTGCACAGACCAGCGTGCTGAGACTTAAAGGGTTGGGGTTCAGGCTCAGAAGTCCTGGAGATGGTTGCCAGGGAAAACGCCGCCACGCGATGTTCACTGGGCAGAGAGCCCCTCCTCTGCGCCTCAACGACCCCCACCCCTCGGGTGTGCGCAAGCGCAGTGTGCTGGCCCAGCCCTCGGCTCCGGAGAGAGACCCTTAAGGCTCTTTCCACGGTGGGGACACGGACAGGGGCTCACTGAGTCGCATGGGGAACTGCTGTGGGTTGCACGGTACGGAGGCTCCGCCTTGCCCAGGGTGGGGGTGCTGGGCCACGCCCTGCACCTCTCTAGTCCTCAGTTTCCCCTCCTGCGCACCGGCCAAGGGTCCACTTCGCTGTTCCCTAACGCTGACATTTCGTCATATCCATACTACCCAACCCGAGCGCTTTGCCTGCCTCCGTGGCCATTCTGAGTCCTGCGGCATAACAGCCCCTGTTGAGGGGAAACTGAGGCTGGGGATGCATTGAGAGCCCAAGGTCACCCGGCCTGGAGCAAACCCAGGGCTCGTGCGCGGGAGGCGCAGCTCTGCGGAAGACAAGGCCTGGGAACTGTCCGTGGTGCTGATGGGGACCGCGGGCTGCCCACTCCCCGCTAGGGAAACTGAGGCCCACCACCGTGATCCCCTGCAGTGGCAGCCCCTTCCCGCCGGTAAGAGGACTGCCCTGTCACCCAGCTCACGGCGTCCCTGTGTTTGCATCATGACCTGGTGTCTTTGAGCCTCACTCTGACCCATACTCTGCACCAAGGGGGGCAGCCCATTTTGCCCCCAGCCCTGGAGATAAGAGAATCAAGGAAGCAGGCCGGGCACCAAGGGGACAGGGACAACCTGGGGTCCGACAGGAGGCCCAGTCATACTCCTGAGTAACCCTTGAGGGTTGGGGCTGGAGGAATCCCAGGGTGGGGGTGAGAAGCAGCCAGCTAAGAGGTGGGAATTCTCAAGACAGCAGCAGTGGGGGCATGGGACATCGCGGGGAGAGGGCCTCAGAAGGGGCCCTTAGCACTGTGTGAGGCAGTGGCAGGTCCAAGCCTTGGTCACATACAGAGAAAGGAGGGAGGGAGGCCCAGCAACACAGGAACTCCAGGGACGTTCTTCCTTGCCCTGACTCAGTTTCACCAGGATGGGACTGGCCATTGCACACCCTCCCCTCAAAATCCCTTGTCTCTCGAGAAGGTCTGAGGAACTGTGACATTTGAGTCATCGGGGGAAATGGGATTTCGTCCATATGAGGGAGGCGGGGATTGGCTGACCCACCATCCAGTGAACAAAACTGGAAACTGAGGCTGGAGAGACAATCCCAAGGTCACACAAGGAGATGAGACAGAACTGAGGCAAGGCCCTATCCCTGCCCAATCCAGCCTTGCCTAGCTCTGGCCTGAGCTTTTGTGAGTTCGCCAAGGGGACCATCTCCCCATCTGCCATACTGTGGGATTTGAACCCAAGGTCTTCACACTTTCTACATCACCATCCCTTTTGTATTTTGTGACAGTCTTGCTAAATCACCAAGTTGTCCAGGCTAGGGCTTGTGATCCTCCTGCCTCAGCCTCCCAGAGTGCTGGGATTCTGGGCATGCAACACTACACCCAGCTTCAGTCCCACTTGGTGGCTTGCCATGGCCATGCCCTCCACCCCTCTACCACAGGGCTCCACAGACACCCATCTCCTGAGCTCTCACTGATCTTTCCTTGGCCTTGAGCCCTTGTCCCTCCTGATCCCTGGCCTCTTTTACATCTATGTCTGGCTCTGGAGGCCCCAGATGGTGAGGCCCAGTCTTCTTGGGCCCTGGCATTGCTGGTCCACCATATGCACTCAGGGCTCTAAACCCTACAGGAAAGAACATTTTCCTCTGTGCACTAGACTGCATTAGCCTCCCCAGAGCCTCCCTGCACCCATTTTACATGTGGGAAAATGAGGGGTGAGAGGTCAGTGATTCTGTCTGGCCTCTCAGGTGTTAAACAACAGAGGCAAATCCCACACCTATGACTTCCGGCACTGACCACCTGTTCTGTCCTGTGACATGTATTGGTAGCAAGGGAACTGGGAGTTAAACCCTCAAGTAGTCTCTGGGGACCCATTGGGGACCAGGGACAGCTGGAGCTACCCTCCTGGGACCACTGGCCCCTCCCTCCTCTGGTTTCCTGTCTGTGAGGGTGGATTTGGGGGTGGGGGACAAGGACCAGATTGAGACAGGAACTGAGTGGAGAGAGAGATGCGAGGAGGGACAAGAGTCTTAGATATCAGATGGAGGGCGTGACACTTGGGTGAGGAGACAGGGAGAAAAGAGGACGGACCCCCCAGGTGTTTTGCAGCATGAATGTCCATCCCCCTAAGTCCCCTCCCCCAACTCTGTTCGCCCCTGATACATCCACACAAGCTGGACTGGACCGGTGGGGAAACTGCTGGCCTGGTTGCTAGTTGCCTGTGCGCTGGGGACCCCGCCCCCCCGCAAGGGTTCTGATGTAATATCCAAGATTTGGTATTTTACTGTAATTCCGCGAATCCGGTCACAGGAGATTTCAGAGGCCATTTTACCCTGTGATGGGATGGAGGACACGGAGTCCTGATTCTCAGGGCATTCTCTTCCCTTGGGTTCATCTATCCTACCCCACACACATCCCGCTCGCGCACCCGAAGCCCCCCTAGCCAAAGCTGAGGCC